TTTTTTTTTTTTTTTTTTTTTGGTCTTTTTGAGACAGGGTTTCACTATGCAGTTCAGGTTGGCCTTGAACTCACTTTGTACCCAAGACTGGCCTCAACCTCACAGCAATCCTCTGGTTTCACCTCCTGAAAGCTGAGAAACAGACCTGTCACCCCACACAGCAAAAGCATTGAGTTCAATCCCTAGTACAGTCACACTATAAAATTTGAAATGGGAAATGTACTTAGAACAGGGCCATGTAGTAGAGCAGTGTTAAGTAAAACTAGTGTGACTTGGTTACTTTTCTCTCGTTCATTGCTGAGACAAAATACCTGACACCCAAAATGAAGGAAGGGAAGGTTTATTTAGCTCACAGTTTGTGGAGGTTTCAGTCCACACTCAGCTGGCTCCAAGACAGAGTGGCACATGGCCGAGGACTGCAGTGCATGGCAGTGGAAAACAGCAAAAGCAGCAGAGCAAAAAGGGGAGGAGCAGAGAGAGCAAGCCTCTTTCCCTCCCTTATATTGTATGCAGGCTACCTGCTCCAGGGCGATGTAGCACTCACACCCATAATCCCATCATTGGACCATGGATCAATCACAAACTGTAGAAGCCCGCCCCATGACTGCAGGAGGCTTTGGAGGGACATCTAGACACAAACCATAACATAGGCAGAGGTGGTGGCACACGTCTGTAATCCCAGTACTCAGGAGGCTGAGGCAGGAGGATTGTTGCAAGTTCGAGACCAGTCTGGGCTACAAAGTGAGCTCAAGCTCAGCCTGAACTGTAGAGCGAGACCCTGTCTCAAAAAAAGAGAAAAAAAAAAAAAGACAAAACCAAAAATGTAACATAGTGTTTCTCCCATCTTCAGGCAATGTTGCCATTCCCAGGGGCCATGCGGTAATGGCTGTAGAACTTTTTGGTTCTCACTCTATGAAGGGTAGCTCTGCTACTGGCATCTACTGAGCAGAGCTAGGGTGCTGCCCACAGCTCTACAAGGCCTAGCACAGCTCCCCACAGCAAATAATGATCCAGCCATAGTATTGCTTAATTGGGAAATCCTGGTAGGTAAGTTATTGTTGTTGTCATTATTAATGTTATTATTTTGGGTCTTTTTTTTTTTTTTTTTTTTTTATGGGTCTTTTTGAGACAGGGTCTCATTATGCAGTTGAGCTCACTTTGTAGCCCAGGCTGGTCTTGAACTTGCAAAAATCCTTCTGCCTCAGCCTCCCAAGTGCTGGGATCACAGGCATGCACCACCACACCCAGCATTATTTTGGGTTTTTGAGAGAGGATCTCACTATGTAGTTCAGACTGGCCTTGAACTCTCATTCTCCTGCCTCAGCCTCCACACCTAGCATTATTTTGGGTTTTTGAGAGAGGATCTCACTATGTAGTTCAGACTGGCCTTGAACTCTCATTCTCCTGCCTCAGCCTCCCAAGTGAGAGGATGACAGGCATGGGTCACTGCCCCCAACAGTTTTTATTAGGAGATCATCTTGCGAAGCTAATGAGGGTGTGGGCACAGCGGGGAGACTGCTTGTGGCTTTAAACAGTGGAATCAGTCTGACCCATGGTCTTCTCGTCTGTAAAGTGGGTATCATCTGCACATGGATATGCAACTATGGGCATATGGCACTGAGGAGCTGGAATTGTCTCAGTCCACCATGGACACATGAATGCACAAAAGGAAGGATTTCTTTTCTTTTTTTTTTTCTTTCTTTTTTTTTTTTTTTTTTTTGGTACTGGGAATTGAACTCAGGACCTTGCACTTGCCAGGCAGGTACTTGTGCCACTGAGCTATATCCCCAGCTCCAAAAGGAAGGATTTTTGTTTTATTGGTCTTCTTTGGTGGTGCTGGGGATGGAACCCAGGGTCTTATGCCTGCTAGGCAAGTGCTCTGCTACTGAGCTCACCCCAGGCCAATATATTTGCTTTTAACTGACATAATAATTATGCAGGGGGGATATAGCTCAGTGGCATAAGTGCCTGCCTGGCAAGCGCAAGGTTGTGAGTTCAATCCCCGGTACTGCAAAAAAAAAAGAAAAAAAAAAGAGAAAAAGCATAGTAACTGAGTTAATCAAGGTCAGATATAGTTGGAACTCAGCCTCCTAAATTCTTTTGGGTTGGGGATATAGCTCAGCGGCATAAGCGACTGCTTGGCAAGTGCAAGGTCGTGAGTTTGATCCCCGGTATTGAAAAAAAAAAAAAAAATATGCAGAGCTTTGCCGGGTATGTGGCACAGGCCTGTAACCCCAGCACTCACTCAGGAGGCTGAGGCAGGATTGCCATGAGTTCAAGGCCAGTTTGAGCTACATAGCAAGATGCTGTCTCAAAAAAACAAAAACAAAAGCCAATCAAAATATGAAGCTGCTGACTGCACAGAGGTCTTCGCTCTGGGAGATGCCACACCTGCCCAGTGACACCGGGCTGGGTCTGTCCCCTCACCTGCCACAGAGGGTGACCGGAAGACCTTCTACGAGAGCTCCCAGTGGAACATTAAGAAGAACCAGGAAGCCATCAGCCAGCTCCGCGAGGAGATCAAGGCCCTGCAGGGGCAGCTGACGGACCTGCTGCAGGTGAGGGCGGGTGGGGGCCGGCTGGACGCTCAGACACCTGGGCGGCGGCTGCGGGCTGACCGGGCGCCTCTCCTCGCAGGGAGACGAGAAAGTGGTGCAGGCTGTGATTCAGGAGTGGAAGGAAGAGAAGCCGTACCTGAAGAACAGGATGGCCCAGGTTTGCAGTGCCGCCATCACCGACTCCTTCCTCCCCCGTCCTTTCTGCGCCCTGGCTGCCAGTCATTTACTCAGTCAACGAAATCTGTACTCATGGAATTATTTTTTTAGAGTCTGAGGCCAGATTGGGCAACATAGTGCAACACCTGTATCAAATAAAGGCCAGCAAGTCCTCCCTCCAGGCAGCTCCCAGCCTAGCGGAGAAAACTGACCAAACCATCCTCAAGAATGCTTCCCTTGCTGCATGCCTGTAGTCCCAGCTACTTAGGAGGCTGAGGCAGGAAAGTTGTTTGTGCCCAGGATTTTGGGGCCAGTCTAGCCAACACAAAGGACCTATCTGACCCATCTCTCTCTCTCTCTCTTTTTTTTTTTTGTCTTTTTGAGACACGGTCTCGCTGTGCAGTTCAGGCTGGCCTTGAGCTCACTTTGCAGCCCAGGCTGGCCTCCAACTCACAACAATCCTGCCTCAGCCTCCCGAGTGCTGGGATTACAGGTGTGCACCACCACGCCTGGCATTTGACCCATCTCTTAATAAAATAAAAACAAACAAAAAAGCACAGGCGCAGTGGTGCGTGTCTGTGATCCCAGCTACTCCAGAAGCTAAGGCAGGAGGATCACAGGCTGAGGCCAGCTTGGGTAATAGAGTGAGACACTGTCTCAAAATAAAAAAATAAACCAGTGTGACAGCACATGCCTATAATACCAGCACTTGGGAGGCTTAGGCAGGAGGATCACCACGAATCTGAGTCCAGCCTGGCCTCTGTAGTGGTTTCAAGGCCAGCCTTGGACTGTGTAGCAAGACTCTGTCTCAAAACAAATTTTAAGTTAAAATTTAAAATTAATTTTATTGGGCACATACCTGTAACTGGAGCACTTCTGGAGGCTGAGGCAGGAGGGTCGCAAGCTCACATCTTGCTTAGGCAACTCAGTGAGACCCTGTTTCAAAATAAAAAATAAAGGGGGCTTAGCTCCATGGCACAACCTCACTGGACTTGATCTCCAATACCACAAATAAATAAAGTAAAAATCACTGGGTATGTGGCTCAGGGGTGGAGCACTTGCTTAGCGGGCCTGAGGCCCTGGGTTCCATCCCCAGCACTGTAAAAACAACCAAAACCCATCCCAAGAACAACAAATATAGAGACAAAGGACTTTCTAGCAATGACAAGAGAAAAAAAAACAAAAAGCAAGGTTATGCACTAGGGAGGAACAGAGGACAAGAGCTGCTGCTTTAGAGTTGGGGGTGTCGGCCATGACCTGTTCCCAAAGGAGGTGATGTTTGAGCCAAGAACCGGACAGGCAGGAAGGGATCTGGGAAGAGGACTCCCAACAGAGGGGACAGCAAGTGCAAAGGTCCTGAGACAGAGGCAGCCTTGGAGTGTTGCCAACCTGGATGCAGGCCAGTATAGCTAGAGTAGAACTGCTCGTCCTTGTTGAACCGTGTGACAGACTTTGCTCCCAGTGTGGATTCCATACCTAGAATCAGAGGGTAAAAGGAACTTCAGGGAGACAAGAGCCAAGGCCAGGAAGAGGCCACCCAGGTGAAAGGTGGTTTGGGCCTCAGTGCCACCAAAGTGACCAAAGCAGCGGAGGCTGAGGGAGACCCTGCGAGACAGTCCAGAGGAACTGCTAACCAATGGGATGCGGGCGGGAGAGAGATGAGCTGAGGATCGCTTGTGTTTTGGTTTTGGTGCTGGGAATGGAATCCAGGGCCTCGACTTGCTAGGCGCCTGCTCCACCATGTGAGGTTTGGGCTGGAGTATCCGGAGGACGGAGCTGCCGTGTGCCGGGATGGTGGCGATTTGAGAATGGCTGGTTTGCGAGAGGGATAGGCACTCAGTTTCAGACGTGATGGTTTTGAGGTGCCTGTGGAGACATCTGGAAACATAAACATGACAGAGCTTACAGTTGGGCTGGGCACGGTGGCACATGCCTGAAATCCCAGCACTCTAGGAGGCTGAGGCAGGAGGATTACAAGTTTGAGCCCAGCCTGGGCCACTAAAGACACCCTGTCTTACAATAAAAAAATGAAAAGGGCTGGGGTTGTGGCTCAGTGGGAAGGCCCTGGGTTCCATCCCCAGTACCAAAGAAAGAAATGAGTGGCTTTTAAGACCCTGAGACTGTGTCAGATCACCAGTAGGGCAGCGTGGAAACTGAGGGCCCAGGAAGCCAGCAAAAGGAGGTGGCAGAGTGCAGGTCGATGCTGAGAGAGAAGTGGGATGAGGGCTGCTCTCCCGCCCCACCCACAGCAAGCCCTGGAGCACCTGGACCACCAGCTGAGCGGGAAGGTGAAGCAGCTGAACGCCCTGCGACACCAGGTGGTGCTGCGACAGAGGCGGCTGGACCAGCTGCAGCTGCAGGACAGCCTGCGCCAGCTGGAGGTGGCGGAGGCACAGGACAGCCAGACCGAGATGGCCAAGGTGGGGCCACGAGGCGGGGGGGGGGGGGGGGGGGGGGGGGGGGGGGGGGGGGGGGGGGGGGGAGGCGGAGCCCCAGGGGACTCAGCCTGGCCTTGCCACCCCAGACCATGCGGAACCTGGAGAACCGGCTGGAGAAGGCCCGCATGAAGGTGGAAGAGGCCGAGTACATCACTGGCGTGTACCTGCAGCTCAAGGCCTACCTGCAGGTAGCCCAGGGAGGGGGCCGGCCTGGGAGGCGGAGGCCAGGCCGCTGGGGATATGGTCACAGCCGCCCCATTCCATGCCCCAGGAGGAGGCGCTCACCCTGGGGAACCAGCTGGATGCCATGGAGGCTGAGGTGTTGAAAGCCAAGCAGGAAGTGCAGGAACTGCACGTGGTGAACCAAGAGGCCCTCAACGCCCGGGACATTGCCAAGGTGCCAGGGTCCTCTGCCCTGGGGTCCTGCCTATCGGCCACATTACCCAGACCCAGAATCGAAACTCAGCCATCCCTGAGCCCCAGGCTCTCTAGCTCCCCTCACCCTGCAGCCTGGTCTAGCTGTGTAGACCTGGGCTTGGGGGTGCAGCTCAGTGGTGAGCACTTGCTTAGCTTGCGTGAGACCCTGGTGCCATCGCCAGCACCGCAAAAAAAAAAAAAAAAAGCTGGGAGTGGCGGTGCACACCTGTTATCCTAGCACTCAGGAAGCTGAGGCAGGAGGATCTCTGTGAGTTCAAGGCCAGCCTGAACTATATAGCAAGACCATGTCTTCAAAAAATAAAGATGCCACACAGCAGCTGTGTAGACCTTGCAGCCCCGTGAGGTTCCAGCCGCCCCCCACTGCCTGCCCTGCAGAACCAGCTGCAGTATCTGGAGGAGAAGGTGATCCGGGAGCGCAAGAAGCGGGAGCTTTATATTTCTGACTGCAAGAAGCGCGCAGAGGAGAAAAAACTCCAGAATGAGCGCATGGAGCGAAAGGTGGGAACACCAGGGCGCAGGACTTCAATCCATCCAAGCCCAAACCAACCAAGACTTGGCCTGACCTGGGCCCAGCCACGCCCCCACTTGGCCCTCATCCGGGAGTCCCGGACCTTTCGGGTTTTTCCGCATTGCTCCTAGCCCCGCCCCTCCCTGGCTCCGCCCCACCCACTTCCCTGCTGAGCCCGCCCCTTCCTTTCCTCGCCTCTCCGCCCACCTCTGGCCCTGCTTTTAACCCCCCTTTCCTAAAGCCCCGCCCCTGTCCTGACTCCACCCCCTTCCCTGGCTCTTAGGCCCCCCTCCTGCCCACTTCTGTTGACCCATGCCTGGGTGCCCTCACCTGACCCCAAGCCTTGGCCCAGCCCCCACTCCACCTGCGCTCCGAGCCTTTCTCCCCGCAGCTGAGCCTGTCTTTGACCTCACCTCCTCCCCTGGGAGCAGACGCAACGCGATCACCTCCTGCTGCAGTCCGACGACACGATCCAAGACCACCAGCACGCCAAGGAGGAGGAGCTGCGGCGGCGCTGGAGCATGTATCAGATGGAGGTGACCTTCAGCAAGGTCAAGGATGCCACCGGCGCGGCTGAAACACACGTGAGCGCCGCCCGCCGCCCTCTGCGCCCCTAGTCACGCACAAGCCGGGCCCAGCACATCCCGCGGGACAGGTCGGCGGCGCGCAAACCGCTCTCTTGAAAGACGTACCTTCCCCCTCCAGCTGCCGCCCCGAGTCCCTGCTGCCCTCGCAGCAAAGCCCAGGAGAGCAGCCTGCACCTGGCTGTCATCTCCTCTCCCTTCGTATTTCATTTCCTTGTTTTAGAGACGGGATCTCTCTAGGTAGCACAGGCCTTGCACTCACTATGTACCCGAGGCTGACCTCGAACTCTTGGCTATCTTCCTGCCTCAGCCTTCCGAGTGCTAGGATTACAGGTGTGTGCTACCACTCCCAGCTTTGCACTGAAGTTTGGCAAAGGAGAACTGAGACGTTACTGCCGGTAACATTGCTAAGACACAGAGGGATCTCTAGGGCCACCCGCAGAGCCAGCAGGTGGGGTACTCCGCAACATTTTTGAAAATTTACAAGACCCTTACCCCTCCCTCCACTCTGGTGCCTGCTTCCAGTCTTGGGCTCATCTCCCAGCCAGGTTCTCCCCTTCGGGTTGGCTGGCCCTACTCCTCCCACAGGGTCGATGCCTAAGAGATCTGGGACTGAGATCTGTGGGGCGTGGAGGAGCATGTGGGCCCTCCCTTCCGGAAGGGGTGGGCTGAGCCGATGGCTGCCCAGGCGCATGGCATTTCTCTGTGTAAGCTTCACCCCTAGAAGTTACTGGTTGACTTTGGTGGACTCAGATTTCTTAACTGTGGAGCAGGAAGGGAACTGGAAAACCGATTTCTCAGGGACTGCACCACTTGAGGCAGCCCTGAGCCTGAACCCACACACATGGATCTGTCATCCCTTCACTGTGCAAAATCTATCAGCTGTCATCCTAGCACTCTGGGAGGCCGAGGCAGGAGGATGACAAGTCCCAGGCCAGCCAGGGAAATTTAGTAAAACCGTATCTCAAAGTAAAAAATAAAAAAGGGCTGGAGATGCAGTTCAGTGCAAAGGCCATGGGTCCAATTCCTAATTGTGCCCAATCAAAATTAAAACACCAGGTTGCCAGGCGCGGTGGCACATGCTTGTAATCCCAACACTGGGGAGGCTGAGGCAGAAGGATCGCTGCAAGTTCGAGACCAGCCTGGGCTACAAAGTGAGCTCAAGGCCTGCGCGAACTGCACAGCGAGACCGTGTCTCAAAAAAAAAAGACAAATAAATAAATAAATAAAACAAAACACCAGCTTAGGCGCGAGTCCTGCGCACAGGATGGGCAGGGGCCCGCGCCCCCTTGGCTTGGCTCTGACCCGGGCTGGTTGGCCCGCAGTCGGTGGTGCGGCGGTTCCTGGCCCAGGGCTACACCTTCACGCAGCTGGAGACCCTGAAGAAGGAGAACGAGCAGACGCTGCTGAAGCTCAAAGAAGAGAAGCAGCGGCTGCAGCGGGAGCTCGAGGACCTCAAATACTCCGGGGAGGCAGAGCGAGTGAGGTGAGGCCCGGTTGCCAGGTGTGGGGAGGCCGTGGGAGGGGTGCAGGCTCGGCAGCGCTTGCGGGGTGACCTCTCTGCTCCCTGCAGCCAGCAGAAGCTTCAAGAAGAATTGCAGAGGAGCCTCAAGGCGGAAGAGCAGCGACGCACGGAGGCCCAGGAGCACCTGGAGCGCGCCACTCGAACGGCGCAGGTGGTTAGGGAGAGCTTGGAGCACCTGGCCAGCAAGCTGAAAGTCATCACCGTGGTAGGCCCCGCCCCCAGAGTGGCCCCGCCCATGGAGACACACAGCCCGGTGGCCCCGCCCAGACAGGCCCGCCCCTGGATCCCCCGCCCCACGGGCACTGGTCAGGAGACCCACCCCCAGTGGAGGTCCAGTGGTGGGTACTGTCACACGAGATCCCAGGGAACCCATCCGCATCTTCAGTGCACAGCGCAGAGGCCCAGCCTGCAGCAGGGAGCCTCCCTGCCCTACATGCCCAGGGAACCCCCTCACTCCCAGAGGCCTGGACTTCAGGGACTGTCCTGCCCCAAGCCCCGTCCCCGTGGGAAAGGCCCACCGTGCTCCCACCGGAAACGCTGGGGACTCCAGTCCTTCGGCCGTGGAGATGGGAGAAGCTCTGGCCAGTCCTCAAGAGACTCACTTTTTTTTTTTTTTTTTGTCTTTTTTTGAGACAGGGTCTCGCTATGCAGTTCAGGCTGGCCTTGAGCTTACTTTGTAGCCCTGGCTGGTCTTGAACTCGCAACGATCCTCCTGCCTCAGCCTCCCGAGTGCTGGGGTTACAGGCGTGCGCCACCACGCCCGGCAAGAGACTCACTTTTGCCCGGTGTGGTAGTGTATGTCTGTCAACTGAGCACTCTGGGAGGCTGAGGCGGTAGGATCTCAAGTTCTGGCCCAGCCTGGGCAACTCAGGGACTTATGGAGACCCCGTCCCCAAAGAAAGGACTGAGGATGTAGCTCAGGAAAAGGACTCTGGATTCAATCTCCAGTACTAAAAAAAATAATCTTTCTTCAGAAGGCCATCCACACAATGGCCTCGCTCAAGGTAGTATTATTTTGCTCACCTTTAGTCTGTGTCTGGTGTTCAGAGGCTCCGCCTCAAAGCGGGGCTTCTTATTTTAGAGGTCCCAACCCCCAACGGTGGGCAACACCCCCCCAACCCGTCTTCATTCCAAGTCCCGCTCATGGGTGGAGCTTCCAAAAGCCCCGCCCCTCCCGACTCGGCTCCTCCCACGGCTGCAGGAGGACAGCCGCTTCTCGCAAAAGGTGCTAGACCCCACCGCAGCTGACTATTTGCCGAACCTGCTGGGCTTGGTGGAGGAGAAGCTGCTCAAACTGCAGACTCAGCTACTGAGCCACGACGTGCCGGAGATGCTGCGCCACATGGCCAGCCGCGAGGTGCCCCTACAGCCCATGCAGGCCAGAGGGGATGGAGGCAGCCCTTGGGGGACAGGGTGTGGACTGGCAGCTGGGAAAGGGTCTCGGGGACCATGGGAGCGATTTGAGGGCGAGCCTGATTCTCCAGGCAGAAGCCAGCAGAGCTGTGAGCAGGTCCCCAGGAGGCCAGGAGGGGCTGGGAGTCAGAGGTGGCCCTGACCGGAGCTGGACCTCAGAGGGTCTTTTGAGAAGCAAAGCGAAGCTGGGCTGGAGAAATACTGGGCGTGGTGGGGCAGCACTGGGGAGGCTGAGGCAGGAGGATTGCCGTGAGTTCAAGACCAGCGGGACCCTGTCTCAAAACCAAAATCTGAATTCTAGTGGACCGCGGTCTCTGCCTGGCATCAGGGCTTACTCGGAACGAGCCCCTCCGTCGCCCACACCTCTCTCCTCTGATTCCCCCTCCTTCAGTTCCTGGTCACCTTGGAAGGAAAGCTGCCCCGGTATAACACCCGCATCCCCCTCCCCCTGGCCAGCTCCAAGGACAAGTTCTTCGGTCAGTGCTGGGCTTGGGAAGGGCGGGAGGTGGTCAGACGCCCGGCCCAGGGCCGAGGTGGAGGCGGGTCGGGTGGCGGAGGCGCGGAAGGGCGCCCCGATGGCTGCATCAGCCGGGCTCCCCGCAGACGAAGAGGAGAGCGGGGAGGACGACGACGTGGTGAGCCGCGCCTCGTTCAAGATCCGCTCCCAGAAGCTCATTGAAACCCGCAGCAAGAAGCGAGGTCGCTCGCGGAGGTCCTAGGCCGGTGGTGCCCACTCCGCCCGAGCCCCCTGGCCTCCTGGGCCCAGCCAGGGCTCCTCGGGGGCCCCTCGAAGGGCTGGACGAGGCCCGGGCCGGGAGCAGAGCCGGGCAGCCGGCCCGAGGAGAGAAGGGGCCGGGTCAGATGTTCCCTCAGTAAATCTCCCAAGTTGGGTCGGCGCCGGTCTCAGAATCGCGCAATAAAGGTCACCCCCCGGCCTCCGGGTGTTCCGCGCTTGCTGACCCTACCCCACCCGAAGGGAAGATGGCGCCCCGCAATACCTAGGGCCGCTCACCGCCCCTCCAGCCCGGGCCTCCTGGCTGCATCCGCCGGTGGCATCCGAGAGACGCCCTTGTCCTGGGCCCTGCAGCACTTCTGGGGCCGATCTGCCCTTCCCACCTGAGCACGGAGGGCACGGCCCAGGACACAGCGGCGCCCAGCTGAGCGCTCCCACCCCCGGGGAGAGGGGCGCCCCTCCCCGGGGCATCTGGGCCCCCTGCCAGGGCCCTGGGTCGGCCCCGCCCCGCCTCGAACCCGCCCCCCGCTGCCCGCCGGCCCTTCCGCCGCACTCCGGCGCCACCACGGTG